GGGTGTGTGGCCGTGGTCTTGAATTTTTGTTCCCAAACGTTTCGCCAGCACCTGGGACCGGCATCTTCAGAGTGCAGGAGCCGGGAAGACCCAACTTCCTTTCCAAATCAGCCTCAAAGAAAGCTTACTTAGTCCTTCTTTTTTACCACCACTCCATATAGGCAACATCTGCACACAACAATTCTCCTCCCCCTTAAACCAGATGCAGTGCTCACAGGAATCAACTAACCCTTCGCTTATATTTTAGCCAAGCATGCCAACCTTCTCCATTGACTTCTTGGCATTGCATTGTCTTCATTTTTGTTTTGTTTTTGAGAGAGAGAGAAGGAGGGAGGGAGAGAACCTCCTCTGAGTAAAAACCATATTCTGTTTGGCAGCAAGCAAATGTGCTTTGCTCTCAAAAGCAAAGAGGCATCAGTTGAACCATGCCATACTAAAAACACCACACTCATTTATCTGTCCATTTTCCTGGCAACTCAGGAGCACAGAGGTGAGGTGCCACAGAGTCACAGCATGGAGAAGATGAACCAAGTACAATTCAAAATCTGCAAAGATCTAGGGGAGCGATCAGGCTGTCCAACAGCTGGGTTTCACCCAACACAAGGAATTCTAAACCCGGCTTGATCCAACACCTGGGATTAAGAGGCCAACAACACCACTTAAGAGGCCAATCAAATGGATCGTGGAATCACGGAATGTCAGGTTGGGAGGGACTGTGAAGATAATCCAGCCCAACCCACTGCCAGTGCAGGAATCCCCTATTATAGCTACTACCTGGTCAATGCAACATGCTACAAGAATGAGTGGGTTCCCTGACACAAGCTACCCAATCCTAGTTTATCCTTGTCTAGCAGGTCATGTGAATCATCCCAATGGTTAAACTGTAGTTGAAGGATTTCAGGATGTGGGCTTTCCTTCTTGCTTCCAAGAGGCCACTGAATCAAATGGACAAAAATGAAGGAAGCCAAACTGACATAGGATGGAAGGAAAGATAGCGAAGAGGGGGTCAGATGAATAGTCTGTTCTTTGGGCTTCTTAATTGAGTCCTGAGGCTAGAAATGATGAAATGCCTTAGCCCCAGACTTTTCCAGAATCCTGTTTGTCCACCAGCTTAAAATCTTCTTCAGAAATAGTCAGAGGGGTGTATGCTGCTTCGGCCTTGGCTTAAGAAATCTTACCATTTGCTCCAGCCCAAAGATTTTTACTGCCAGATGCAAGTTAAGGTCTGTCATTTTCCTGCAGGAGCTAAGAGGAGGAACAGGTAAATGTTTCTTTCAGCCCCAATGATAGTTTTAGCATCTTCTGTTGAACTTGAAGGCATCAGGGTAGCTTGAAGATCCAGAGCAGGAGAACTGATGCCAAAGAGAGAAGCATTTCTCATTTCTGAATGTATTAATCCCATTTATAGGGCACATTTCCATCTTGCATTACAAATCATCCTTCTCCAGTCAGAAGACAGCAGGATAAACAAAATTTCTTGCATCCTTAATTGATCCCTTCAAAACCTTTTGGCTAGATTACTACACAATGTTCTACATGGTCTGCCCTTGGAAGTGGGGTGAAGTTTCACATGATCCAAAATAGGTCTGCTTGTATTTTGGTCAGGATAAAGGATTGGAAACTCATGCATCCATGCTTTAACCCCTTCATGATCAACTTCTGGTCACAAATTTTGAAGCATAGGTTAAATTTTCAGTACCATAAAGTTGAAATCCACTGTAGTTTAGAAACCAACAGTCCCTCTATTACTTATGGGGATGTTATAAGGATGTTACCTTATAACAAATCCAATCATTGTCTTGTCTTTGTGGATTAGCCAGATTTCAGACAGCTCTTCCTGAAAATGCCAAGAATTGAACTTCTCTGGTAGAAGAGAGGATCGACCACTAAACTAAGGCTTTTCTCAACCAAGCTAATACCAGGATCAAAGGAAAGAAGAGCCGAACTAGCTTGACCTCTAGGAGAACCAAGCTGGAAACCAGCTAAACCTTCCACAACTGAAACAAAAAATACAGAAGAATTCATTTTTGTAAAACTAGTCCCATTGACCTCCACAGCTGGAACTGGATTAATACATGTTGCTTTTATGATTATTTCATTGTCACTACTACTATTACAGTTGTTAATAGTAGAGATAATACTACAGTAGGACACTTCAGTATCCCACCAAAGAAGAAGTATGAGCTTGGGAAAAAATGGCTTCTAAGTTGAAGCCACTCTTCATAGACTCTTGCCAACCGCCTCCTTAAAATGTATTTACAGATCAGCTAAAATTAATTCAGCTCTGGCTATGTGGATCTTCCCTGCCTGAAGAAGAACCTTTCTAATTTTTGTCAAGCCAGAGTTTGAATCCATTCAACTCAAGAAGCCTAACACAATGCTCACTTTTGGCATGTAAGAAAAAAAGGAGTTCAACTGTTCTGCCCCATGATGAACCCTTAACACTTCCAAAGATTGAGGTAGAATGAAAAAAGAAAATTGGACACGTACTGAAAAGTTACAGCATTCCATGCAGGCTTGGAGGAGCCAACACAGTGCACTCCTAACACACCTTGCACAGTCAGCACTCCCTGTAGAAAGGTTGTTACCAAAACTCTCTCAAGTTCTCATAAAGAGATTCCCTCAAGCTCTCATGCCCCCTGAAGTTTCTTCCATTTAAAGGAAGGAGACACCTTCTCAGAAGAGTTTTGGCACAACAATCTTCTCTTTAGTCAACTCTGTGTTACAAAGCATGCACTTGAACAGAACTGGCACCAGCTGAGGACAACACTGAGTGCTGGGTCTCAAACTGAGAGCTGTCACTGAATGAGGCAGACAACAAAAAGGGTTGTGATGCTCCACATCAGATAGCTAAACCCAGAAACTCTGACATTTGTGCAATAACATCTACCACAGGCCAACAGGTGTTTAGAGCAAGCGGATCAAAGATGGGGGGAAAGGGCAAGGTTAAAGACATATCTAGATCTCCTCCAAGCAGAACCCAGAAAAGATTTCCCAGCTCCCAACTGCTTAACAAAACCCAAATTATTCACCCACCCCAAATTATGTTACTGAGATGAGGAATGTTTGGAGGAGAAAGCAGGAAGGAGGGCTTTGTCTGGAAAAATTATGAAGACTGTTCTATTTGGGGACTTTCTTCCTGAATTCAAATTATTCTGTTCCAAGTATATTTGGGGCAGGGGATGTCACTGGGCTCTTTTTGACAGATCTTGTGGTTCTGGTTCAAAACGGGAACCCATAAACCTGCCTGCCCGCAGCGTACTTGCACAATTGCCCCTTCCCCAAACCCTGAAGAGAAGTGACTCCATCATCCAAGCTCACCTGTTGTCTCTGCATGAACCATCCACGAGAGAGCCAGGAAAGTTATCCCCAGAAGACCTGGCATTTTCCTTGGAGCCTGGCAGACCTGAGAAAAAACTCTGTCAGGAATTCCAGATGGGGAGATTCCACCCAACGATGGGGGTCCTCAGTTCCTTTCTACCACATCAGAAAACCCTGAGCGGCAGCATGGAGAGCTTGCCACTGCGTCGATGGAGTCGTCTTTGCCTCCTGAAACGGACGGAGGTTGCTCAGTCAGCCTCTGCTGCCCAAAACACACTGAGAAGAAATCCGGAGGTTCAGCCTGGCGGCTGTTAAATATTCATCGCAAGGAAAACCATGGCTGAGGCTGTTTTAACTCCTTGTCTCCTGAGAACTGGGCGGGGAGAGGGGGGAGCATGACTAAAAAAGATGGAAAAGACACAGGGCCTATTTATAGGGAAGGGACCCCTGAGAGGAATTGCCCTGGATCCAACGTGTGATCCTAACATTTGGGGCTTTCCTTAGGAGTTCCTTCTTACTGGGCCGTTGATTTCAACAAATGACAAACAGCAGAGACAAAAATTGCATTGAGGTGGGAGGGAGAAAAAAAAGGAAGGTTTACATGAATATTCTGCCCCCTTCCGTAGTTTCTTGCAGTCTTAAAAATACCCAAGAATGCAGCCTTTTTGCTCACACCATTCCCTTCCAGTCTTTATTCAGTGAGATAGTGGACCGTGATGCTGAGTGGGAGACAAATGGAAAGGGTGCTATGCAAGCAAGAGTCCCCGCCCCCCCACAAATCAATAACTGGCCCTGTGTAAGGGAAGAGGTGGTCTCCAGCAGTCTGTCCCTGAAGGTCAATTCCCAGGATGAGTATTGAGCATGGATTCATTTCATCCCATTGCACTGAAGGTTGATGATCACCAAGTGGAGGGGGGACCACCAGCTTGCCAGCACACCTTCAGAAGTCAAACCCCAAGAGAAAATTGCAAGGGTGGGTAAATGCCCAGCATTGACATTGCCAAGGTTTTAAACTAGCTTCAAGAGCTTCAGTCGTAGCACACTGTTGAGAAAAGTGGTATATAAATTAAAGACTAGGGACAGGACTAAGTATATCTGTTCTTTCTGAAACAGAAGCTTGGTCTGAAGAACAGGTAGGACTTGGGGTCTTTGTTGCAATAGAGTGATAGCTCTACAATCCCTGAATGTTTGGGGTACATCTTCTGGGGCCCCTCCCTCATTGCCCCTGTGCTGTAATATTTAAAGGGGCAGAAGAAGACAGTGATTAAATCCATGTTTATCTTTATCCTTACAGCCAGAAGACAATTAAATCTATGAAGAGCAGTCAGGTTGCTTCTATTGAGCATAGGGAATTCAATGCGAATTAACTTTAAACTTCAAGGAAATCGAATCAAAGTCAAACGACGGCTCTTGGCAATCCCAAAGAATCTGCCCAGCTCTGCTCCAGAAAGAATTCCCTGCTTTTTTATGTGGATGTAACAATGAGCTTTGGGAAGGACCCATAGCTATGTACTTGCTTGGTATGGCCAATTTCTTGGTTTGATCCTCAAGCAGTTGCAGGTAGAGATGGGACAGAGGTCTCCTCATTCAGTACAGACCAGCCTATCCTGCTACATTACTGTTTTCTTTAAGAAACCTTTCCATCCAAATCTAAAAAAGCTATCTGGGAAGATTGTGCCTCCGTATGTCTTCTGCTGGACGTCTCTAATGGAAGCAGAAGAAGTCAAGGAGGCTGTAGGTTGCTGGAGGGGGTTATGCCTCTGTATGTCTTTAATGGAAGCAGAAGAAGTCAAGGAGGTTGCTGGAGGAGATCCTCACACAGGCCCCTTGGCCCTCTCATCATGAATGATGAGAAAGAATTCTGCATTCTTCCTGTGCGGATTTCACCAAAATTCTCTTCTCCTTCCAGGTGTTTCAAGAGCAGCAGAAAAGCAGCACAACAAATTGTGCTGAATGAGAGCAGGAGGGGGAAGAAAACGCAGGTGGAATTTTCCACATGCCACCAGTTTCAAAGCTCTTGATGGGGCAGAAGGTAATCCCACAGACCAAGCTGATGATTTCCTCGCCCTTCTGATCACTACCCATTTTTGAAAGAGAAAGAGAATACAGTGGTGCCTCGGGTCACGAACACTTCTGTTCACGAACAATTCGGTTCACGAACAGCTCCAGTCGCAAAATTTTGCCTCCGTTCGCGAACGCCGGATCGGGTGACGAACAGGATCCGCGGCCATTTTCCCTCCCGTGACACAGTCCGCGGCCATTTTCCCGCCTGTGACACGTGGTCCGCAGCCATTTTCCGCCCATTACACGTGGTCCGCAGCCATTTTCCCACACATGACACGTGGTCCGCGGCCATTTTCCACCCGTGACACGTGGCCGTAGGGAGGGGGACTCTCCCTCCAAGCAATAGCCGCCTCCCTGTCCCCCATGCCAGCACGGATTAATGG